TAACAGTTACACTTAGTACGGATGTAACGCGTGTAGAGAAATCATTATTCTTATTGTGGTGTGAAAATTTGAATTCGAACTTGGAGTAAAATGTCGAATTTGATAAGAAAAGAATATCATATTAAAGATGATGTGGTTAAAGCGCAATATTCTCCCGATCTTCGAGAATATGTGAGTTTAAAGCAATGACAATAACTTGAACTATACTTAACAACTTCACCATTCTGTTATTTTTTAGATCTCGAGTCAATTATTCGAAACTAGAATTAATGAATTCAATACAGCGATACAAAGTTGTGCATTAGCAAAGGGTCTATATTTATTTCTTTATCTTTTTACTACGTTCTTAGTGCTAGTAGTAGGAGTACCAATAACAAAAAGTAAAGCAGACAGATATGAAAATTATTCGGAAGTTCAATGGATGTATTTCTTATTGATTGTAATGGGTGTATATGTTATGGTGTGGTGTATTCATTTGCTTTTATACATTGAAAACCGGAAGACAGCAAGTATCTTTTAAGTTTCTCTCTTCATTTAATTTATATATTATTATTTTAAAACGAGCATCTTTTACAGAAAATGAGGGAAGTCGAAAAGGTGATGGTACGAATAAACAATTCAGACATCCATAAACATATCTTTTGGAAGCTAGATTTCACTGAAAAATATATGATGGAAGGATATAGGAAAAAGTATTATGTAAGTTTTTTTTACTCATGATGTGGAAGAATGTAGAAAAGAATAAAAATTACATTGTAAATCTGATGAGATCATTATTCTTTTTTTTTTAGAAAGTAATACTTGAGCTAAGCTCGCCAACAATAACTCAACAAGTAACAGTAATACCATCACCAATTATGGTACCATCACAGTCATAACAGGAAATGCCACAACATTATCACTAAGCGATAATCAAACAACTCGAGGAATTTCAATTGACGCTTCACAATTAAATCAATTAAATCAAATATTAGCTGTAAATCAACAGCAACAACATCCACCTCAACCCCCAGCAAAATATTAACATTCTGTATTTGTATAGTATGTCTTTACTTCAGCAGAACGTTTGTATATTAATGTACTTCGAAATTTAATATGTACTTATTAATAAAATTATTTATTGCCAGTAGTGACATGTAATTATACGCACATATTGTTTATAACATAAATGCAAAGATCTTGAGTAAGTGATGAGAAATGAACGGACCCGATGGATGTTATCCCTTTTCCATTTTCTTGTTAGAGGTGTACCAAAGTGTGTATGTATGTCTATAAATCTCATCATTTCCCTTTTTGATGTATAATTGTAGTAGGTCAAATCTTTTTTCCCTTATACCAAGAAAAATACGTTCGACGTTTAGAATTTTAATTTTAAGAATGACGCAGTCAAAAAAAAAAAAAAAAAATTTCAATTCAAAAATAATTAAAATTTAATAGAATACAGTAATTATATTGTTAAATACAAGAAAGCGAAAAAAAAAATAATTTTTTTTTACAATAATTTACAGTTCCCTCGAGTGGTTTTATTTTTTGATAACTTTAAAAACTTCATATTCGATAACATAAAATTTACGATGCTTTGTAATCGGGGCTTCGTAATCATCTTCTTTACAGCTACAACTGTCTATATGATTAAAATTGCCTTGCATCCAAAGATCTTTATCACCAAAACAAGGACCGTAATTGTCGTCCTTGAGAGTGATAGCATAATTAAATCTTGAACATCTACTTATTTTGGCATCTTCCAAACGATTTCTGTTACCAAAAGAAAATAAAAAACTGTCTCTTGTTTCCAAATGACCGCTACCAATTTGCCATCTAACAGGATTATATCCACCAATTACTTCACCTGAAGTGGCAATTCTCATTATAACAAAAGTGGCTCCTTGATTATCACACCTTTGATGAAAAGTTTGTGCATCAAATCCATCTCTTGTTCCTCTTGTTAATAATTTAAATTTATATGGTATATCTGCTCCACTATAAGTTTGCAATTCTTTCTTGTCAATCCAATCTGCAATACGAGACATTTGTTGATGTCCAACCAAAGTTGAATTTCCTCTTGGCGTATTCACACCAAATATTGGTTTACTTCCTGGTTTTAAATGACATCTAACAATATCATCTTCCAGATCATGAGGTAAAATTGCTCTAAATGGCCAAACTTTATCATATAAATCACTTGAACTCATTTGGAAAAATCTAACCAAATGTATACATTCTTGTAATGTTAATGCTAATGCTTGAAATTCTT